ATTAGGGCCTCAACAACCATAAACCAAATGTCAGATTCTTCCACATTTTTGGATGTAGATATTTTCTGATCAATTATAAGGATCACCTTAACAAATTTGCACTGAAATCGGATGAGGTCATTTTTCTTAGCTACTCTACCAACATGGTGACCTATAGGGTTCTCATTAGATGTAAAAGACTGATAGTCCAATGCTTTGATGTCAAATTCGATGACTATTATGTCGGAAAAACTGCTCCATAACTTGAAATGAAATTTATCTTGGTAAGTGATATCCTAGTCTCCTCGAGTGCGTTGCATATCATTTTCATCAACTGTGATGATCTATTTGACCCCACAGAGACGACTCATCTCTCTAAAATTCTTGTGTCTACGTTAACTAAACAACAACATGCTACAGTATCTGGTACAACCTTATCCGAAGAAGTATCACTCAATACTTCCACCTTGTCGGTTGAGTAGGAAAGTTCAACTCCAACTCTGAAGGAAACCATCGAGGTTCTAGTACTTGAAGATGCAGCCCCGGTTTCCACTCACAAAGCCACTGCTCAATCAAATATTTCTTCGGATTATGATGATGAAGAAATTGAGAATATTGATACAAGAACATCTCTAAGGGTTATCAATTAGTCATCAATCTAAAGGGAACAATCATCGGTTCCGGAGGAACTCCCATCCACAATCCAGGGGGAGCCTCCCGCAAATTATGCTTAAAGTCCTACAATCCAAGATACTTCTACTAGATGCTTCAAAGTTAAAGGGTACCAAGAGTCCTTTGATGTTGGTGTATTTAGATTTGTAATTGAAGTGTTAACTAGAGATAATTATCGTATGTGTTAGGCGAAGACTAGATTGATGATTCATGTATGATGTTTATTTACTTGCTAATGAGGTGAGTCTTCTCACTATACTTACCTAGAGTGGTAATTTTTGTGTGACTTGGGGGTCTTTTATGCTTTATTGAGTATTTTGATCTCCTACATTATGTCTTTGTGATTTATGTTATGTATAATTTTGAGCATTATGAGTTAGGGCCAGAGGATCCACCCGAGTTGTGGGACTAGAGGGTTCCATTAAGAGACATTGACCGGAGGGTCTTACTCAAGAAATAGCAAGGAGAGTCTCACAAGTTATGTGTGGTATTTTGGGAAACTCACTAAGCTTCGCACTTACCATGTTATGTGTTGTGTTTCAGATACTTCTCAAGATTATGGGAAGGCGCCTGCTTGATTGTACACATGAGATGGAGTTATGTTTTAAGGATCTTGGATTTTATTTAAACAATTTATGAATATGTGGTTTTGATAAACTTTCACCTTGGCGATTTGTAAATTGTGTTTATGAGAAGTATGTAATTTTTAAAATGAAAATTTTGTTTGAAAATTTACGACATTACACTACTAAATTTAGTGACCATGCAAGGTTCATTGGACAAAATAAATCAAACACACTAAGTTAGTAATGTAACATGAAATTATTCATTCATCATTCATGTTTGCGGTAGTTGCTGTGGTTGCAGTTAACAAACGATATTCTCTAAGTTCGGTAGTTAATTTCTTCTACGGTATCACCAATAATCCCGATTGCGGTTCCTTAGCTAAAGAGGGCCACTTTTTGTATCAACATAAGGTTATAATTGTTGGAATAGTGTCTAAGGCTATAACTATATTCGGTGGTGCATGGTCCTTTTGGGTTGCCTTCACCATAGCAACTTGAAGGATGATTTATTAAGAGAGAGAGTAAATATTATAAGGAATAATATTTAGCTATTTGATTAATATAAGTCATAAATTAATTGGTATTAATTTGGTGACTTAAAGAGATTAATTAAATAAGAGGGTATAAACTGTCAATTGTTTGATAGTTAGACTTTAGACTGTAAATCCATTAAGATACACCTTGGACGGATTCTAAGAGCTTTAGGATAGCTCAAAATCATCCATAGGGTTATCTATGGAATGGATTTGGATAGCCTTAAGAGAAGATTATCCAATTAGGGTTTAGGGTGAAACCCTTAAGGAGTCTAATAGTATAAATAGGCCCTTGGGATGTGGAATTCGTGTACAACCTTTCAGAACCTTAAGCAAGGAACCTCTAGTCGAATTCCATCCCCTCTCCTCTCTCCTAAATCATCTTGCTTGCTATTGGTGTTTGTAAGCCATTAGAGGAGTGACAATTGTGACTCTAGAAGCTCCAAGACAACAAGATCAACAAGGGATTCAAAGGTATGATTCTAGATCTGTTTTATATTGTTGTTTAACCTAATTAGCCATTAGAAGTCTTGGATTCAAAAGCATGTTTATTAGAAAGCCTAGATCCAAGCAATAGGGTTTTGCATGCGCACATAGGAAAGTTCTTATGGCTAAAACCCAACAGTGGTATCAGAGCCTAGATTGGTTTTCTAAATTGTTGCTTGAATAACTGAACAAACCTGCAAAATTCGATTTTTTGGTTTTGAGTCACTGACTCGTCGAGTTCCAAGGTGGACTCGTCGAGTAGGCCTGACTCGTCGAGTCCCCTTGTGCACTCGGCGAGTCCAAGCGTCAGGAATGGCCAGATTCGGGATTTTTTCATAATTATCTTATGGAAACTTACCTTAATCATATTAG